CCGTGGCACCAGGTTTTTAAGGGTTTTACACAAATAAATACTACAACGCAGCGTTCAATGTCGATTGACGATCTAATTCTACCTCCTGAGGTGGATGGGAGGTGGCCCGTGGCTGGAGCTGGCATGTTGAGCCCCTGATAGGCATATAAGGGGTGTGTGCATCACAGGTGGTGACCTGGAGTCCGTGTTGTAGTGCGTACTGTAGAGATAACTTTATGGTAGTTTTGTATGTGTTAAGATGGTAGAAGCATTTTGTAGCCTCAAGTCTGTAGTATTTAATATGCATAATATAATTGAATTTCCTTCTGCATTTTGGTGAGAAACAAAAGTGTTTTACTATTATTTCTACTGATTATTCTGTATATCCATGCATGTAACGGTTTCAAAGCTGCCTGTCTGTGACTCTCCAGAGCCTTTGTTTTGATCACATCCTTTGTTTCAGAAGATCTTACTATTATTTCAATTAACCGAGTCATCTGTAACTTAGTGCATGGAGAAGCAGTTTCATACTACCAAATGTCTGGACTGTGTAAATGGAACTTCTCAACTTCTGCCACTACATTTTGTTAAATGTATGTTTAAAAGAAGTATGCATCTTTTATATATTTTGCAGAGTTGAATATATGGCTTACCCAAGTTCTGAATGCTTTGTAACAAAAATGTTTTTTCCTTGAAATGGCATTCAGTAGTATGTATGGTACCTGACCAATGTTTATTCCATCTAACCGAGCTAAGTATTCATTCTATAAACCACTATTTCTATGGATGTTTTGTGAATCTTTATATGTGAGCTGTGGAGAATAAGGACCAAGTAACTGTGTTATATGTTTACAAAGGTACTTATTTAACTAAGATAACAGAGGTGCAGATATCAGCATATAAATCCACCTGAAGATGCCCTGTGTCTCAGTACATAAAACATGAAAAATGCATGTACTGTTGTGACCTTACGAAGCGTAAGCTTTCCTTTATACCCTCTTATCGTGAGAAAGTCTTTCTATCTGTGCTGTTCAAAGATTGTTGGATTTCCCTGTGTTCTGTTGCCGCTCTGAGCATGAGCTTGGTGCTACTGGAGAATGTAACTGGATTGACCAAATAACCCAGGTTCAGAGGAACTCATGCTAAAATAGCCAGTGCCTGGCTCATAGCCCACTGGGATTTCTCCCTGGAAGATTCCTCACTGCAGAGTATTGGATGCGTTGACATGAAGTAAAGCCTGAAACACGATACAATAATCAAAACTGATCATCTGCATTTCTAAATAAAAGTGTATCAGTATATAATCTTGTATGAGCTGTAATGTTGAAAGCATCTTAGCTTAAAACAGCTTAGTTTCTTCTATGATTGTTGTAACCAATTTATGGCTACTTGGTGGATGAATCTATATTGTGATATCTATTTGACCCTAATAAAGTTATTGCATACAATGTGCTTTTTTCAGAGTATGATAATATTAAAATGTCACTGCAAAATAACCAAGATGGTGGACAGAATATCATCTCCGTGCTTGACCTTATTGGTCATATTCTTACTGTTTTCCAACACCTTTAAGAGCATTGTTTCAATGTGCAGTAGAATACGAGATGATTCTGTGGATACTTGTCTCTAATGGTCACTATCACAAGTTAAAATATATATATATTAAACTGTGCAATTTAATATCTGCCCACCTCTGCCTCTCTTTCCATCTATTAATAGGACTAGCCCAGTGCTGTGCTAATATCCCAGTTCTGTAGATTGCTGGACAAACCATTTCTCAAGCTGTAGAAAAGACAGGCTTGAATAACTAAATGGGAGCAAAATCCAATTTTCTGGGTCAGTGAAAATTTTTATTTTGGCTTTCTGTACTTTTGTTCCTTCTTTTATACATTTGGAAAAAGCTAAATAGAGGCAAGTCAGAAGAGAATGAAATCTGTGCTTGTGGGGAGGGATGGCTGTGTCATGACAACTGTTCGTGTCTCATTCTACTATCCTCTCTTTCACTCATTATCCTTGTGTTGTTTGTTGTTTTTTGTTTTTTGTTTTTTTTTAAATCTGCTTTGTATTAATTGAACAGGAATGCTCTAAACTGTGTCCTCCAGGCTTCCCTCTGAGAAGAATTTTTCGTGCAATCCATCTTCATCAGCCTTTCCTTATGTGAGGGTCCCATTTCTCATCTTCTCTATGCAGTGCTGAGGGTCAGAAACTTGAGTTTTGCTTAGGTTCATTCCCCATTTCAAACAAGCTGAAATGCTTGTAATCATGTGAACACAGAAACTGTGGCTGTCCAGACCTCAAGGGTTAACCCTGAAAAGGGGCAGATCCTAATACAAGACCAGGGTTGGAAATAAGACATGACTTCTTTGGGGTATTATTTATGTAACACCTGATCTAAGCAAAGGTTGTTTCATAAAAGGCAGAGCTGGTGGAAAAGTTGAGGAGAGTAGTGACAGAGGCTCACGTTCTCATGGAAGAATTGCCCCTTTCCCTACTGGGTTGGCCACAGGTTGGCTATTTCCTTGCTGCCATGCAGAACAGATGAGCTGGTTGTTGTCCCATACATCCCCCAGGGATTTCTTTGCTGTGAATTAGAAGGGAAGAAAAAGCTTTTCATCTACGTCTTCTCAGATTAATGCACTACGGCAGCAGCAAAAGTAAAAACAAAAAAGATACATGTACTCGTCTGTGTTACATAAGAATGTATTTCTGAGTGCTTCCCCTCTGTTCCTTTGAGTTCAAGGCTTATCACATCCTTCAGCAAGCACTGAGGAATTTGAATTTATTTGAACTGAGAATAGTGGCTGCATAGCAGAATGTTAAGCAGCAAGACGGAAAAGACTTTATCTGATGTTTCCCCTTTTTAAGATAAACAGCTAAGTAAGTAAACTCTAGCATCCTCTGCTGCTGGCAGACCAAGTGCTTTTCTTCATCATTAGTGAGTATCTCTGCCAGTTAGTTAAATAACTAGGTCAGCCTGGGAAAAAAACATGTTCCGTGGTCTTCTGTGCTGTCCCTCCTGCTTTCCCATGTGTTTCTCTTTCTAAACCATTTCTCAGCTGCCCTAGACAGGAGCAAATTTATGCTTTCCTGATTGGCAAAATCTCCTTCACCGCAGCCACTGAGCTGCCCGTACCAGAGCCTCTGTGATGGCTGGGACTTGGGGAAATTTCCTGCTCCTGTTGCATGGATTCATATTGCAATTGCCTGATGGGGTTAATTATTTCTAATTTGCAGGTGCTCTCAGTGCAGTCATGCCACATGCATTTAGTCTTCTGTCTACTAGCTTGGAGCCAGACTTGAATCTATACCTCTGTATGTGTGAATGGACAGCTATATAGCTTATGCTCTCCCTAACTTAGCCATTCTTTTTCAGGGTTGCCTTCCATTCCCTCCTGCTACTAAGACCAAGAGCTTTTCCTCCTGAAATTTTCTAAGAGCAGCAATAATTTGCATTTTAGTATTAATACGTGGTGCTGATTGCCCTATCATCCATCCATGTCATACATCTCTAGTGTAAAAATTTGGGTTTTGTGAGAGTTTTGGTAGAAGGTTTTAATAGTTGAGCAAGTGGAGAATCCCTTTTGTTCCATTTAGCAACAGTTTCTTTTCTTACATTTTTATCATTGTGACTTTAATAATTTTATTATTTTTTTTAATGAGCATTGTTGCCTTTTTAAAGCCTAATCTTCCTATAATGAAATGTGTCTCAGAGGGAAAATTATTTGGTAATAATATTTGTAGGCTTCACTCTGAAAATGAATGCACTGCCCAAACTGTTGGGATTGTCCCTTCTGTGTCAGACCTTCAAAGGCAGCAGGGAACAGGGTGCCTGCACCCAGGGAACCCTGCAGCCCTCTGCTCCTGGGCAGCCCCATGGGGCAGCATGAGCAGATTTTGACCAACATTGCAGGTCGTATCTAAAGGCTGCCTGGATGTGCAATGACAAGGGATGTTTCTTTGCAGACAGCCTGTTTCTAATAGCTTTGCTTCAATGGCATTTCACCAGCAGTAGGATTTATTAATATTTTATTCATCCCTGATCCCAGAGCTCAATCCCAGGCTCATGTAGGAGCTACACGCATGGTCAGGAGATGGGCTGAGGTGCTCGTGCCTCCTCCTCAGCTACACTGAAAGTCAAGTTTGGCAGTGGCTCAAGGTTTAGTTTTCTTCAGAAGCTTAGCAGCAGCTGAGCTCAATGAAGGCAATCAGGAAGCCTCAGCAGGAGGCTGACGTTAGCGTCACCCTCCCTCTATTGAGCTCCCTTTCTTGTTTGTGTCCCTGTTTCTAAGTAAAACCTCCACTTTGAAATGTCCCCATGTAAGACAGCGAGGAGCTACTAAGAGTTTACTGAAGGAATGGCAGCTAAGTGCATGATGGTGTGGGTGCACCTATGGCTTCAGGCCCCTGTGCCCCCCATCCCTGTGCCCCCTGTCCCTTGTCTGTCCAATGCAGGCAAGCCCACACCTGCCTCTGGCTGCTGTCGTACAGGGGCATTGCCAAGAGAGCTGCTGCCCCACTGACTTGTAATGTGTCATCTTGAATGGCAGAAAGTACATGGATGGGAGGGGAAGACTCTGGCAAAGTACCAAGAAGGAAGTGGGGGCAATAATGCCTGCGAAAGCTGAACTGAACTGCACACAACGATCCCGCAGAGGTAGGTATCAGGTTGTGTATTTTATGCAGACAATATTGTTAACATGTGAAATGTGCTAAAAGTTGTCTGATAGGATCACCTGGGTATCTCACACATAAATAGAGTGTATCGAGATAGAAGCAGAACAGATGGCCCCGCTCCCTGCACACCTTGCTGACCATCAACACGTACAGCCAAAATCTCACTGTCTTCGAAGCTGATCATCTGCAAAGGCAAGGGTTAGCCTTGTGCTACCTGGTATCTATAGTGCACTAACACTCTTGGAGCACTAATTAAAATATCCTGGAGAGAGAGCAGAGCCCAGGCTTGCCTGAACTTGTTAATGCCCCAGCAGAGCAAATCACCTGTTGTAGAGCTCAGGCTCTCAAAATCAGTTAAGTTACAAAGAAAAAAAACCTGAGCTGAAGTCTGATTGACAGTGGAAAGAGCCCAAAGCTGGGGAGCTGGCTCTGCCTAGAGCTGATAAACATGCAACAGGGTCTGCTCCTCGCTCTCATCTTTACCTTGGATGCTGCTGAGCCCAAGTGTTGCTGTTCAGTGGATTAACCAGGATTGTAAGGCTTTTCATGCCTTCTTGTTGGGTTCAACAGATGTAAAAGGGAATTATCACTTCGACATGATATCAAGACTTTTTTTTTAAGCTGATGGCAGATTACTAAGGCTGTATTCTTGTTTAATTTTAGTGTGTTAATTGATGGGATAATGAGCATTGATTATATGTGTTTTGGCTGCGTCATTGCAATTACAGGCTCTGTTTTATTCATGAGCCTGTCCTAAAGAATGCGCTAGAGATCTAAGACAGCTTAAACCTCTCAGAAAAAGGCTCTGAATTGTTTGAGTAATGACACTCTGAGATGGAAAATTAAAGGTTCTCTTTTCCCATGCTTTTTAAGATAATTAAAATCCACGAACGGTAAGGTGGTGAACATCCTTATTCATTAGCCTTCGGTAATTTAGCTTCTACTAAATGAGGAAAACATTTTAATTCTCTAGGCCATCTGTTGCAGTCTCCTTTATGTGTCCTGTTACATAAGGACTCATTCTGGGAAGTTTTGACATCACCCCATATCCTTTCCCTAGAAGGATGCGCTGGATGAGGTGGCTGCGATTGCTGCCTTTTACCAGCCACCATGGGATGAAAACAGCTGCTCAGTGCTTGGTGTCCCGGCAGGGAATGCTGACCTCTCTAGGAAAGGATCCACAGCAAGGAAGCGGGCAGTGTGACACACAGCCTGTTTTCTAATAGCAAGATTTGTGCCAATAAATAAAATAAAACAGATCCCTCAGCACCGCCTTGCAGAGACTGCTTTAATCCCAAGCATTTACTGATCCTGAGATCACCAGGTATTGCTTCCATTATTTATGGGGCACGGCTGTGGGCAGGCTGCTTGTACAGAGCCGAGCTTGCAACCACCTGTTTGCTGTTGCTTGAGTTGCTTAGAGATCACAAACGCTGATCACAAGAGCAATGTGCGGCTGCAGAGCCAGCATCCCCAGCACCAAGCATTACTCTGTCAACCCTGCGCCCACCACGAAGAGCCCTCCAGCTGCAGCAGGCATGCCCAAGCGGTGAGTGATGGCTTTAATCTTTGCATCTCTAGTGATTTCTGCCTGTAAGTCATTATCTGGGTGTGTATTTCTGCAATTAGCTTTCTGGAACTTGACAGAGGTTGCCATGCCTCTCTCTGGCAATTTAACGATCATCTAAACAGCCCCAGCATTTTCAGTCTGTCCTTGCAGGGGAGGGGTTCCATCCCTGAGCATCCCTGGGATGTTGGTCTTCATGCTGTGAAGGAAAGCTTTTCTCCCTTGGGAAGTCCTGGAATTCCAGGGGATTAAATGCAGTAAACATGAGCAAGGTCATCCAGGAGGAACTATACACATGCATCAGGTGATAACCGTGCCTCTTTTCTCTCTCCCTTCAGCATACCCATAACCAAGCAGCTGGCATCAATAAAAGGTAAGGGGCTCCACCCTCAGCGTTTATGATGTCTCCTCTCCTACTCACCTTTCCCTTAACATCACAGTCAAACCATATCCAGGCTCTAACAGTAACTGTGAGCAGGGAGTGTAGGGTTTTCAAGGTGTGGTTTAGGAGCAAGGAGAGAAGCCCAGCCAAATATTTCAGCAAAAATTCCAAACACATCACAAAGCTAGTGTGAAGCTCTGCTGCTGATGCTTACTAGTTGGGCTATGTTTCCCTGCCAGGAGTCCTGGGAGCCAACACCTATCAGGAGGTGGCTGGCAGGTCCCTTTGGGGACCAGACAGGCTCACCCTAACCCCTGTCCTTGCCCAGCATACCCCAGCTGTGATAAAATCTGCACTCACTATGGGACAGGAGGTATGGGGCTGGCCCACTCCACATAAAATCTAGGCTAGGTCCTCTGTGGGTATAAACACTTTCAGGCTCATTAACTTTAATGAAATGGCACTGATTGCTACCCACTCAGGATGCTTCTGACAGATTCCTTTCAATTATATCACAAACACTGCTTTTTCTGATAGGCTGGTTACTTTTTTTTCCCCCCTAGCTCTAGAAAAAGGCTCAGACCTTGAAAAAGCTTTTGCTACTGCTGCACTGGTGTATAACAACTCTGCTGACCCTGAGGGCAAACTCAGCAAAGCTGAAACCAAGAGCCTGCTGCAAACCCAGTTTTCAAGATTCATACAGGTGAGAGAATCCGAGCATCTTGGGCCCTGTTCTGCTGCTGTATGTGTATCCATCCATGGGGTAATCCCAGGTGAGATGCCACTAGGCTTGGTGCAAACATCTTTAGTTGATTAGACATAGTCTCAATATAAAGCGAGAACATGGAGCTTGGTGAGGAGTGGCAACAATAACCACTGTTGTTGCACCTGCTTGAGCTCTTGCTAATAAGGCACCGTGGTCACAAACCAATGAGGAAACAAGCCCTTGGATGATGACAAGTCCTTGTGTGTTTATGGGATAAGAAACCTATGGCAATTGATTAGGTGGTTGGTGGTTTGCCAGAGCACTGGCCTGATACCAGGAGGATTGTCCCCATGCTGCAGAGGTATGTATCCCACCAGTGAGCAGCAGGGTGTGGAAAGCTCCTCCTATCCATCTCTCAAAACCAAAAAGAACAGGAGTTTTATTTAAGTGGTAAAAGTACATTTGTAAAACGAGTGCCTTTTTTGGTTTGGATTGAGGGTTTGAGAGTGTGTGTGTATTTTGGAGGTCCCTTCCAACCCCTACAGTTCTGTGATTCTGTGATTTTGTTTGTTTGTTGTTTGTTTTTTAATCAATTAAGTAAGTGAGAGAGATATTTAGGACTAAAACATATGTACCATATGAAGATAAAACATCTTCCATAGCAACAGCAATATCCAACAGGGTAGAGAATGGCATCCATTGAATTGATGTGTCTTAAAATCCACAGTTCCTACAAACTTAGTCAAGGACCTGTCTCGATTACTAAGGTTGGGTATTTTTTATTTCTTCATCCCCGTTTTACTGAGGAACAGGGCTCCATTGCTTCCCAGCAGAGCTGTTGGCACACTGCTGCAGCTACCAGCTGCATGCATCACTGCCTGGTTTTCCGTTGTCATTGGACATCTTCTGAAGGATGTGTTCTGGATTCACATGGTAGTTCAATATTTCTGATGGAATTTCTTGGGATAACTTTAGAAAAAGTAGTGTGAGTGTGGACTTGAAAATCTGAATAGGAAGATAGAAAATACGTTAATTGTTACATAGGTGTCTTGCTTTGTTGTGGGATTTTTGTGTTTGGTCAGTTGTTTTTTTTTTTAAGGTGATGCAATAAAAAAGGAGCGTTGTGCTTAATGTTGTTTTTCTCATTGATGATTCTCCACAGGGCCAGGAAAACAAGCCGAAGTACCAGGAAATTATTTCTGCCCTGGATGAGGAGCCAGAGAAGAAAATTGATTTTGAAGATTTCATGATCTCGCTGGTCAGCCTCGCTCTGCTGTCTGACCTGCTGCAGGAGATCAAAAACGTGAAATCCACGAAATGATGAGTGCTTTGTAAGGAAAGCAGGGGTGAAATGCGCACAGAGATAACGCTGAGTGCTGCATCCCTTCTGCTCTTGCCTTTGAAATGGAATAAAGCCTTGCCCAAAGCAGCTACCTGTAGGTGATGTGCTGGTTGGGGTTTTTGGTGCTCCGGGAGCTGCAGCCCTGAGCTCTGAGTGCCAATGGAGCAGTATGTATGGGGCTCCCAGTTAGCAGCCAGGGGAAAATCTGCTGCAGGTTTTGGTAAACATTGGCTTGAGTCCATGTGCTTGGCAACCCACTGCTAAGCATTCTGAATGGAGCTTTATTTATTGATGCATTTGTTTTTACTTCTTCCTCCAGGCTCAATGGGTGACCGCCATGGAAGGAATTTCAAGTCCAGTGTTTGCAGTGGTGTGCTTGTGTAACCAAGGGGTGAGCTAGGTCCACGTGTCAACCGAGTCCATGGTTTCATGAAAATGTGAGGAGAAGAAAGCAGATAAGGGATAGTCAAGAGAAGGGATGGTGGGCAAGGGGCACCTAACGAAGCACAGGTTTGTTAACAGGGCCAACAAAGCAGTGCAACCCCTTTCATTTCCTTTTTTTTCCTAGCTAGAAAAGAAGACAATGACAATTATTTAGCTTTGGTACATAATTTTTTAAACAGGAAGGGATCAAATTCTTTGGTGCTAAAAGAGGGGAAATTAGTGTCAGCTGAGTAACAAGCTTTAACTCCTTGACACGAAAAGGGTTTTAGTGTTCTCAGAGCTAAGAAGATGACTTGTAATGGATTTTGGTGTGAAGAAAGAAGAGCTGCAGCAGGGAGTTGGAAGCCAGCTGTTTTGGGAGAACAGGTCTGCATCATCATGCAGCATGGGATGGAGCTGAGAAGAGTGTGAATAGGTTTCAGAAGGGAGCTCAGCTGGCAAGGTGCTGCTCCATGGGGCTGATTCCAGGGCAAAGATGTTGTCTGGAGGTGAAATATTCGCAGATTAAAGTGAAGATTTAATCTGGTAGCTTCACCTCCAGGAGTATCATGGCTTTGTGTTGGTAATGTGCCCTCAGCCTCTTCTGCCAACCCCTTGTTTTCAGCCCAGGCAGAAGATCTGTGGAATCATACAAAATAAGCAGGTAGGAGAAGGATTGAATGTGAGTCCCTAGAAGGCTTTTCCTATTACTGAAGTACTGAAGACATAGCACTGCTTTGAAAAGCTTGTTTGAGAGACACTCAAACTTTTCAAACCCCAACTTTGAAATAAGGAATTTCTTAATATCCCTCTGTTACAACAAAAGACAAAAAGAACAATACTGTGAAGCCAATTAAGAAAGTGTTCTTTGAAGTTGCTGAGGCCCTAACACAGTTTCTGTTACTGGTGAAACGTTTCTTAATCTTGCATGACTTGAATTAATGACTTAAGAGCCTTTTATCAGATCAGCTCACTCTGTCATCTCATCATGTGCAAACCCTTCATATTCTAATGCAGCTGGTGTGATGCACTAGTGTTCAGACTACCTGGATTCTATTCAAAGCCTTTGTGCAATGCGCAGTGGAAATCCAGAGTTGGAAGCATAACTCAATATTGAAACGGTCAGGAGGGAATCAGAGGTGCAGAGAAACTGTGTGCATGTAGCAGGGCTGGAGCTGGGTGCCAGAGCTTCACAGGAGTGTAGTGATTGTTTCTGAACAGCATGAATGGGATGTGCAGGTCTCCATCTGCATTTGTCTTTGACAGCCCTGCCTGATGCTCTAAAGCAGGGGGATGCAGGAAGATGTTAGTCTGGATATTAGGAGAAAGTTCTTGCTCAGAAAGAGTGCTGAGGCACTGGCATAGGCTGCTCAGGGAAGTAGTTGTCATCCCTGGAGGTGTTGAAGAGCTGTGGAGATGTGACACTGAGGGATGTGGTTGGTGAGCATGGTGGGGGTGGGCGATGGTTGGGTTAGATGATCTTAGTGGTCTCTTCCAACTTTAACAATTCTATGATTCTAAGAGCCCCAGCATCTCCTTCTAGACTGCAGTAGGCAGAAGTTTGCAGCTCGGCTGTGGAAGATGCTCTTTTATTAGCTCAGACTATTTGCGGCCGCCCCGAGCACTCAGCTGACAGCTTTGAAGCTGATCTGGCACAGACAGCAAGTCTGGCTGCATCCTTGGGGAGCTAGCTAAAAGCTTGCTTAAAAGGCTACCGTTGTGCTTTATTTCGTTCCTAGCTTGCTTCTATTGGAAGTGATGGGAGTTCATCATCGATTTCTCATAGCAGAGCCCACGCAAGTGCTAAGGAGTAGGCAGCTAAATTGATGAGATGCTAAATTGCATCTCCTCTGTAAGTGTGAACATCCCATAGCTGATGTTCAATAGCTGATTTCTCCCCCTTGAAGTGAAGGCAGCTTGAAGAGCAGCTACTCAACACCTGACCTCTGTGGGCTTGGGCTTGGGAAGCTCTGCAGGCTTTGGATCTCAGTTTTAAGTTCTGTTCTGAAAGCTCTGAGTCATACCTGCAGGTCTGCGTGCTTCCAAATGACTGCCAGAGGAGAAATGGGGGTCAAGGAAGCTTCATCCTCAGATCTTTGGCTCAAGAGGATAGAGTAATTCTCATACTCCAGTTAGCACACCCAGGTCAATAGGTTCTTACTTTATATTTGGACTTAAATCTGCAGTCTGCTAGACTTGGGAGGCTGGGACAGTCTGACTCTAGCCCAGTCTCTGCCAGGAACCCGAGGCCACGTGCACTGGGCTTGCAAACTTTCACAAAACTTTTAGTAAAGAGAAACGTGTTCCCCAGCTGTCTCACTGTTCTTGTACCCTCAGCAAGACCTGGCTGGGACCCTGGGGCTGAAACCTTACAGTCTGAGGGATGTGTTGCTGGGTGCCTCCTTGCCTCAAGGTGTTTGTCACTTTTTTTTTGTGTTGAATAGAACTTCTTAGTCCACCACAGCAGCAGATAACTCCCCTCCAGCCCTAGGAGCTCACTTCAGAGCAGATGACAAGATTTGTCCCAGAATTATGTACTCTCCAAAGCACTGCAGTTTGTGAGCCGCAAAGGAGCATTCAAACACCAACGGAAGAAAGAAAACCTCTTTGTTTTGGATTCAGTCAGGGAAGCTAGATAAAGAAGAAATGGTGTTTTTTATGGCGCTCTGAACCAAGAGCTTATAATTCCTGTAGTGACTTTTACTGCAGCCAGTAGTTTACGTGGTTTCTGGTGAAGCTACATCTTCTCTCCTTGCTTGTCTGCTGCTCCCTCATCCCACAAGTGTTTATAGCCCTAGCTCTGAGTCTTCCTCCAGCAAAGGCAAACAGTGCACTGCGTTCAGCAGCCAGATACATCAGCCTGTCTTTCTAATCCCCAACTGCACAAATCAGCCATTAGACTTAGATTCAGAGCCACAGGACTTATCTTTTATTCATTGTTATTGTAGGAGTGAGTTTATGTTATGCACATCCACAACAAGAGCCAGTCTCAATCTCTGACATGTAACAAGGATGTGAAAATGTGATCCCCAAAATGAAAATAAAGGAATTCATGGGAGCAGCCCTAGGGCTAGCCCTAGTGCTGGGTGTCTGCAGCAGAATCTCCCTGAAGGTGTTCAAGAGAAGGGTAGACACGGCACTGAGGGACATGGTTTTGTGGGCATGGTGGGGATGGGTTGATGGTTGGGCTTTGTGATCTTAGTGGTCTTTTCTAACCTCAGTGATTCTATGCTTGTTGTGCATAGTTGGTGTAGTGCCGTTTTCACTCCTCCTCCCATTCAAAGGTTCTGAAAAAGCCAACTTGGGCAGTGGCAATCACTTCTGGGCCAAAACACAAGTTGGGTTGAGCACAACTTCTTTCTTCTTCCCCCTTCTCCATGGTCTGTTCTCCTCACCTGCTGTTTTCTAGATTTTATTTTTTTTTTCATCTGGAGATGCACAAGGCACATCACACACTGCTGAAATCAATGAGGGTTTGAGATCCTCAGGCAGACTTGTTTCAGGCCCTCCAGCCCAAATGGGTGCAGAAGCTCATTAGTGGGTGAAATCAAGCCCTTTTTGACCTGTTTGACTTGTGATGATCAATAACTGACATGCAGGATCCATGAAGCTCTTCCACCCTCACAACCCCCCAGCAGCAAGCAGCAGCTGCTCAGCCTCAGGATACCCTCATGCCACCAGAGCAGAAGACAGCAAGTCACAGTGAGCAATCTATGCGCAAGTCTTGCCTTACTACTCATGATTTCTGCAGGGCTGAGTAAGGGTCAGTCAATGCTACCAAACAGCGAGCTCTGTGGGAAGGCAGCTAAAGCTAACATAACTTTCGGCTGGATAATTTCATGAGTGTTCACTCTCTGCTTCAGTCTGAAGAATGAAGCTGGGCAGTACTGGAAATAAACCAAGTATTCCTACATTGGAGACAAGCAGAAAGATCTACAGCCCAGTGCTGAGATTTTTCCTTCTCCAAAGGTGTCCCAGGGCCCTCCATCTATTCCTGTGATTCTTGTTCCTAGGAATACATGCTGGTCTACTTTTGGCTTCTGGGCTGTTGGAGGAAGTCTGTGTACAAATGCCAACCCATTTCCCACACCTGCTAGTGGATGTTCTTTGATTTAGTTCTGTATTTGTGTCCAGCTTCCACCTGATGCTCTTTTGGGGTTTGTTTGGAAACAGCATACACCAATAGTCACTCAGGTTAAGCCTCATAGGGTAGGTTGCTCCTGATAAGGTGCAAATACCACTGTGCTCAGCAGGTGTGACTCTGCACCAAGGGAAGACCACTAACAGGTGATCTCCTTTTCCAAGACACTGCAACTAGTGCCAGAGTTTGCTCGGGTTCATGACCCCACTCTGAGGGTTTTATAGGATTTTGTCTAATTAATTTAAGAAAACAAATTGCAAAATTACCTTCTTATTAAACTGCTCTCACTATAAAATAAGGCTGATTACCTCCCTGACAAACTTTAATTAGGCAGCTACAATAAGCTGTAATACAGACCACAAATTAAAAACAGATTGTATTAGAGGTGGCTTTGTCAAATCCTGTATTAACACTGGGCAACATACACAGTGATTAAATGATACAGAAAAGCCCTTCTTTTCTCCTCTGGTAAGATCACTCATTGCTGGAGGATGTTTCTGGAGTTTGTAGGAAAACCTCATGT